GTGACAGTACCCGGCCTCCTCTGTGACGGTAGCCGACCCCCTCTTTGGTGGTACCCGGTCCCCTCTGAGGTGGTACCCGGTACCTCTCTTCTCTGTGACGGTACCCGGTCCCCTCTGTGGCGGTACCCGGTCTCCTCTACAGGGTGGGGCAGAAAGATTTACCTGTTTGTTTTCAGTCCATTGCTTAAAAAGTTATGAACGGATTTTGATAAAATTTACATGCAGCTTCCCAACTGACTCATGTATCAACTTTAAGATCGTTTTTACCTTTTGTAATAGTTGTTGGTGAGCTATGGCGAAGATGACTAAGTGAGCCCAAATTGCGGCGCTGAAGTAGGTTGGCCACAGCTCCCGAAGCGTTGCCAAACAGCTCGGTGTTGCCGTAAAAACTGTTTGCAGTATAATTAAATGACTTAAAAAGACAGTGTTAGTGTCGTCGAAGTACATGCCAGGCAGAACAAGGGATTTCCGCTTCAAAAAGCTAGTTTATATCGTGCACAAGAAGGTGTTTCAATTCCTAGGCGAAGCATGCGCAAACTGCCAAGGGAACTCTCTGTTTAGCCCAGAACCGCCAAGAGAATCATAAACGACGGCTTAGGCTTTATGTCATACAGGATGCAACGTCGACACCTAATTTCGGCGGCATCCAGAGAAAACCGGCTACACAGGATCCAAAAGACATTGGAGGAGATCAGGAGCGCCGGTAACAAGGCATTCTGCTGGTCCAATGACAACATGTTCATGCCTGAGCCCCAGAGACACTCCCAAAGCGTCAACATTTTGGCAGATGGTCCATCCAGCATTGATCCTGCTATTCGCACCATTTTTTGTTGCTTGAAGCCTGCTGGTGTCATGGTTTGGGCTACCGTCGCATCCGACGGCTCAAAAGGAGCCTTGGTCTTCATCAAGGAGGCTGTGAAAGTGAATTCAGAGGTTCAAGTCCATCTGCTGGAGGAACATGCTTTGTCTTGGGTCACTCAGTCGTTCTGAGACGGATACGTCTTCGTCCAGGACGGTGCGCCGCCGCAAACGGCCAACATCGCTCAACCGTGGTGGAAGACCCACATGCCTGGGTTCTGGGACAAAGACATTCGGCCATCATCAAGTCCAGACCTGAACCCGATGGACTTCGCAATCTGGGCCATCTGAGAGAGGAGGGTGTGTGCAGTGCCACACAGCAGAATCGCCGCCCTGAAGCTGGCCCTCGAGACGGCACCGTCGAATCTTGGCGGGGACACAGTGCGGCGCTCGTGCCCCTCCGCAGAGGGACGATTCGAAGCAGTGGTGAAGGACAAAGGTGACCATATTGAGTCATTATGCCGTCGCTGAGATGTGTACATGTTACTGCAAATATGTGCCAGAAATCAATTTGATATCTTTGTTCGGGGCCGAAATATTTAAGAAAATCAAGAGGTAAATCTTTCTGCCCCACCCTGTATGACGGCACCCGGTCCCCTCTGTGACGCGGCCCGGCCCGAGACGGTCCCTCTCTGTGGCGGTACCCGGCCCGTGACGGTCCTCTCTGTGATGGTCCCCGGCCCGTGACGGCCGCCAGTGAGCCGGCAATCTCTCACGCCGGGCGATGGCCGTCTTCCCTACCGCTCGCCAAAGCACTCCGTTTACGATCGTCGTCGCCATAGCCGTCCACTTACTGAAATTAGCACATTTCACCTGGCTAGCTCGCGCCGCTGAGCGCAGTGTGCCATAGTCCCGTACCGGAGCCTGCGCTACTGCCTCCGTAAGTGATTGTTTCGCTTAGTGGTCTTCTGAGTGGGGTGTTTCTTACATTTATTTTAGGAAATGTTGGTCGTGAGCGAGATCATGAGGAACTCTGCGGTCCAGTGCTAACTATTCTATTTTTGATCCTTTTCTCTGCTCCACTCGTCTTCTTTTTGGCATGCTCTGGTGTTGAGTGTTGTCTCTTCTTTTTGTTCTAGCTGTGGAGCTATTTTAATTTCAGCCTTCTCTTTCAAGACAATTTGCTCTACAAAGAATGGTCGTGTTTTCCTTGGTGCGCTCAGTGCTGAGTAGTTAATAATTAGCGGCTTCATTTTGTGACTCACGACCCATTTGCCTCTGTCGCGTGCTACTGTTCTGAGGAACCCCGCTGCGGTTTGCTGCTCGTGGTGTTTTATTTTGTGGTTTTGTTTTGCTTGACTGGCTTCAGTCTGTCTCATTTGCATAACAACAGTCCTAAGCGGCGTATCTCACCTACTTTTCCCGACAATTAATCTTTGCTTTCATTCTTTACTGTCTATTTTCAGTGGCGCTTAAACTATTGGTGCTGGCTGCATAAAATTACAGCGTCGCAGGGCGGGAATTCATGCGGCCGGCTGGATTTCGTGCCGGTGTTTTCCGCGCGTCGGCGAGCTCGTTTGTCACCGCCCTGCCGAACGGAGGCCGCGCCGACGACGACAAGTGCGAACGGAAGGAAACGGACGAGAAGAAACAGGCTGGAGGGGTGGCGAATCTGGGAGAAAGGAGAGACGAGACCGGCAGACAGATAGACAAATAGGCAGCTGCTTAGCAATAAGATGAGGGATCTTGTTAGTTAAATGAACTTCACAATGCTCCGCCCCGTAGCTCAGTTAGTGGTGTAGACTCCCGGTGGTTTGAGAACCTGGGTTCGAGTCACTCTGTTGTTCGATACACGAGACTCCTGATGGGGATAGTCTGTGGTTGACGGGATCACGAGCCTTAGTCCCTCCAGGTGGTGTGAATTTATGGCCAATTTTTTGGTTGAAATGTACGTCCTTCGTGATTTATACCGATACTTCCCTGGGCGATTTGATTCATTAATCAATTCAAGCAGGTTATGTGCTGATAGGCACATAACCTGCATATGTATACTTAATATACATATGTAGGGAGTAGAGATTTGGTAGTACCTACATATGTGCGAGGTACAGAGAAAAGGGCGCAATCGAAGCCCAAAAGACGACAATTAGTTTGTTTGAAGGGCCCGTGGTTCGCCGACTCTTGCCGCGCTCCATGGAGACCAGAGTCGTTGACTCGGATCGAGTCGGCTCGTTTGTTGATCGGCTGCGCTGGGCCGCTCGGAATGTATTTGCCGTTTGTTGCCGGCAATGGGATCGAATTCGAGCGGGCTCCGGCGACCGGCGACATTTGTCCGTGCTAACTGTCCGCTGGCGAATAACGGATATAGCTCCTTAGGAAGCTCATGGCGTCTTCAGGCCGCCAAGCACGCTAAACGAAAGTCGATTTGGATGCGTCCGGTCCGTGAGAAGGCGCTGGTCTGCGGCCAGTGTGTGCCCCTGTGCTGTGGTCCGTGTTCGGACGGTACGGCGGTGGCGTGTCGTGGCCGGGTGCCATTGGCCCGCGCCGTTGGCCGCGGCCGGCGCCATCACGACGGTAATTACTGGCGGCGGGCCGCACACACACCGCCGACACACATACACACACACAGCGGCGCGTGCATGCCTGCGGCCGACACAGTGGCGGCTCGCCGGGGTGAGCGTCCGGCGGGGGTCGTACCCTGCGCCCCGGGCACCCCTGTATGGCCGACCATCGACCGCACCCCCGGCCGGCCGGCGGGCCACTCGGCCCGGCCGGCCCTCACGGCCCGACCCCCGCCTGAATACCCTAATGATACGGCTGGGCAATCACTGCCCCTTCACCGGCACGTATCCGCGGATTTGGCTGTTTGCGCCCGGCATTAGGGCGTGCTCCAGCCGGGCTGATTGCGTGGCCGGCCGGCGGCCGCCGCCACAATGGCCGCTCCGGCGCGGCATTGTTTTCCGTAGTGGCATGACAACGTCGCCTGGGCCTCCTGGCACCACATCGCCACAGACAAACTAATGCTCCGGCCGGCCGGCCCAGCGGGTCGGGGTCAGCGCCGGTCACGGCCAGCCCTATGTAGTCCCGACTCCCGACTCTGGGTTCGGCTTCTCTGGTCGTGCAATCAATTCATGCCATCGCTTCACGAGGAAAATGCATGCCTACATCATGATTAATTTGCAAATTTGATGCATGATACGGTACAAATACTGTTGCTGTTATCGGCAACTGCTATTACTGTCAGTAAGATTATTCCAGTTTGAATTCGTCATGGTCTATCCTACCCTGCCCCGCCGCCGCGCTGCGCCGCTTTTTCGCTCACTGGGTCAGCTGCCTGCCTGGATGGGCCCTCCTTCCCCCTCCCTCAGCCCTCCGCCTGTCCCCGCCCGGCCCGGCCCTCCCCTCCTGTCGGGCCGCCGCTCCTGTTTTTCCTCAGCGGGCGCCGCGCGCGCCTGTTTATGTAATTGGTGCATTAGTGCAATCAAATTTAGATCCGCCTGCGATAGGAGGCTTAACTGAATACGAACGACGCAGTTGAGGCCGGTCTTGCGTCGTCGGCCGGACCGAATCTTGGAGAGTGCATTGTTCAACTTTGTCGGCCGATGGAGCGGACGTGGCGGCGACGGTGGCGCACGGCCTGCTCCGTGCCGGTATCGGGGACCGATCGTTGTTGGCGTTCCCTGCTGGCTGTCGGCGGCAACGGCATTGAGTAGGTATGTGGAGCGAGCGCCATGCCGCCGACCTGAGCAGAGCGCCTCCAACCTGAGTCGAGCGCCGCCGACCTGAGCGGAGCGCCGCCCGCTCCCAGCGCATGGCCGAGCCGGGCGCTGCTCTGCCGACCGCGGCGGCCGCCAATAGCCGGGCGGCGGCTGGACGCTGATTTGGCCGGCGGTCATTTATTGGCCCAAACGGGCGCGCTATCTGGCTGCCGGCCGGCTGATTGGACGGCCGGTGATGACCCGCCGTCTGATGAGCATACATGAGGTCGGCCGCGCGCCGGCCTCGGGCGGCCGCGCCCGTGTTGGCCCAAACAGGGCAGCGGTAATTTTCTGTCGAAAAGGCGTTGCTGTTCACCTGGTTCGCCTCTGCTTCCATCCTTGGCGGTTAGTAAAAGTCGCACATGTCAGCTGTAGGGAGGCGGTGCCGCGGTAGGTCCCAGTATGTCGCCGGCGCTACTGACCCCGTATTGTCCTTTGTTGCAGAGACTGTCGAGTGGTCCGTGATCCTCAGACGCAAAAGTCCAAAGGCTACGGGTTCGTCTCCTTCGTCAAAAAGATGGTGAGTACCGCTGCGCTCCTCGCAGTAGTCTGTCTTTGGGAGTACCACTGTGACTTGTGAGTGTCACTAGGCCTGTGAGTGTCTCTATGGCCACAGCTAATCTGTGGCCACGCGGGTGCTGACGGGTGACGACTAGGTATGTGTTAGGCATTATTATAGCAGAGAGCCTGTCATTGTTGCTGGTGCCGGTGCCTGTGTGATTATGCCGTGTGATTTGCCAACGGTACCTATATGTTAGTCACTTCATTAAAACTTATATTACCTCTGTTTTAATGGAGTTTTAATACTGCTCATTAGTGTTTCACCCTTTCCCTGTCATAAACCACTTAGTGCATCAAACCGCATGAACTTCAGCATTTGAGGGATACACACGTCATCGACGTCCAGTTTTTTCTTCTTTACTGTGTTTTCCCAGTCGTCTAAACAAGTATCAATGTTCATTGTCTAGTTTGGCAAATGGGTCTGAACTTCCGCACAATCTTCACCATAGTTGGAACAACTTATCAGAGTGGTGAAGAAGTGACTGCCTTGGAAGATGTATATTATCTCCTGGATTCCATAGCGCATGCAACAGACCATTTGGTTCCGCCATTAATCTTCATGGTTCGTCCCTTTTCAAAAGTTATATCTAGTCTGACTCTGTTTGTCAGGGTCAAGTTTTCGGCCGAGGTCAGGACGGTTTGTAATCCACTTTGTTGGACCCATTTCTTGTGCTAGACAAACCAGCATCTTTTGTAACTATGTTCAGGACCGTCATTTGTAGGTAGGTACTTACCTAATTGCTCGCAATGAGCGTAATCTGGCTTTATTGGTTTGTTAAATGACTCGTTTTTATCCCTGCTCGGCGTGTTCAAAAATAATTCAAAATAATTTGCCGTCAGACTGTTTCTCGGGATATTCGTCATTCGCTGCTGGCGAGAAACATGTGGCTTCAGAAGACTTGGCCAGGATTTTGTGACATCAGAAGACTTCGCCAGGGTGTTCCAACGCCGAATGTTGTATTATTGAGGGACAGCATGATTGATTCGGTCCCTAAAACTAAGCATCATGTTTGGTCGTTCCCGGGACATTATTACGTTTTCAAGATTTGTCATTTCGTGTGTCGAACGTGGGTGGGGTGACCTGTTTTCACTGAAGAAGTTTCATTTAGAACATAGCTGCGGTCATTCTCGTGTTCACCCTCTCGTGCTCTGTCGGTTTGTCTTTGAGTTAGCGTACGAGAGGCGTGTGCAGCACGAAAACTCGAGCCGTGACGGGGCCGGAAAGAATTATGAGTGTGGAGAGTAGGACTCTGTTCTCTCCTCAGCCATCCCCACGGAGGTCCAGGAGCGAGACGCGATGTTTTAGCAGAGGTGGTTATTTTCGCAAGTTGGCTGCTGCGCTGCTGTTCTGTTCATTGCTAGCCCACGACCTGCCACCTGGAATTGAGGGTTGACATAAACTCCTGCAGTAGACTGGTTTGAAAAGTTCCTCCAGCTTTGTGTCTCTGATGACTTATACATGTGATTCTAAGTATCCGTTGCGGCAGAGCTTGCGTTGTATGCTGTGAGATGTCTGTGTGCTCTGTCATGTCTTGATATGTCCGTGTGTTCTGTCCGATGTCAGATGTCATCGTGTTTTGTCTTGTATTGAGATGTCGTGTGCTGTCCTGCTGTGGGCTGTTTCGGAGTCACGGATTGAAAATATTAAAGGGCAAGATGCTGAACGATTCAGTGAATATAGTAACACCATAACTCTGTGAATAGTATGCAGACGTTTCCAGTTAACTTTCAACTCAGTCGTTGTAGCGCGGAATAGCTGAGAGCGTGAGGCAGTCATTAAACCAGCCAGTCAGCTTCTTAAACGGGCGGGGACTCACCGGTTTCCGTGCTCAGCTGGATACCACGACTATCCGTCAAAATAAATTATACGAGACAGAGACGACGAAGTTCAGACAGAGGAAGTGCGCCTGAAGTCCCGCGCTGATTTACTGACGTGGGTATATGTCGGGACCCCTATCAGCACCGGTGGCGTCCCGTGCTGCGTTGTGGATGCCTCACAGTACTCTTTGTGTCAGTCCATGCTCTCACTGTGGGTAGATAATGAGTCACTGCCGATCAGCGTTCCTCTCTGGTTGTTCGGCAGTCTGGCGGTGTTGTCCCGTTGAGGCGCTCCGCTTCCCTCAGGTAGCCTCCCTGCTAACTGCCACGCTAGCGCCGGCTGGAGCCCATAGCACCGTCGCCCCAGTCCAGCGGGCGGTGTTTCTTTAAATGGCTCGGCCAATTTGGGCCGCTCACTCAGTCGCGGTCTCCGCAAGTGTGGAATTAGTGCGCCCTCAGCGTCAGTTACGGGGGCAATAGGGAAAATAGTGTAATTAAACGTCTCGTATATATTGGGTGCCGGCGCCGCCGGGTGACTTTCTAACCTCGGTAGCCTGGCAGACGTGGTCCACGCCATGCCGTTGGCGCGCAGTCGCATGCAAATTGCTACTAATTAGTCCAACTTTGTTTTGTTGTCGAAATTTTGCGAGTCTTCAAACTGCTCCCCTCTCGCTCTGCCTCGCTCTATCTCGCCAGGATGCGTATCCGGTTGCTATCTGCCGGCGGCGTTGGTCCTAGTTCAGTGCTACTGCCTAAGCCCTCTTTATCGCCGCATTCCAATCCACATACATCCAAGTTTTCACTTATTTTATATTTCCCATGTGTCAGGCTTTCTGTTTGTTTCTGTTCTGACTGCGATGTGTCTATTTATCTGCGTACCTTGCTCTGTTTTTTTTTTTTTGTATTTATATCTGTCTGTCTCCTGCTTTTCACCATTTTCGTACTCTGAGGCGCTGATGTTTCAGCTCCTCAAGAATGGAGCAGTGCCACGTCTCTGTCTCTGCCTCTGTTTCTGTCTCTACCTCTGTCTCTGTCTCTTGCCCCTCGCTGTCCCCGCTTCCAGAGTGCAGCAGTGCCGCGTCTCTGCCTCTATCTCTGTCTCCTGCCTCTCGCTGTCTCCCTACTGTCCCAGCCCCAGAGTGCAGCAGTGACGCGTCTCTGCGCCAGCACTAACAGTCGTCGCCACCGCCCCTAGTCGGCCGCTCTCCGTTTGTGGCACGAGTTTTATGGTCCAGCGGGCCGCACATTTGACGCCCATTCGTCGTAATGAGAACTGAGAAAGCTAGGCAAGCGGATTGAGATAAATGAAGCAATAAGGGCGAGATGATACGGTTATGTTTTATGTCTTATGGCGAGTTATATATGAGTGCACTGCGCTGCTTCTGACATTATGTTTCCAAAAGGTTGGACTTATTATCGTAATATTTTACTCATGTTACGCCCACGTGCTATGCCCGAACAGAGTAAGATTAAAAAAGAGAATGTAATCTGCCCCTCTTGAACCATTGAGATTATTAGCTCTATTCTGCTCGTCGTGATCATTGGGATTTAGGTATTTGGATTTATCTGGGAAATGTTTTGTGTATTATGTGCACAGCGACCCGTCATTGAACTCTTCTTTTCCATTACAACGTCCTCGGTAAGTCGGATTGTATCCGATGGATTGATTTCGACAAAATCAGCTCGTCTCATTTACTATCAAGGTAAACAAAAGCTTTCCAAACTACAACTGTCTTGCGTGAATCACTCCGAAATTGCAAATAAATAAAATACGATGATGGTTGCTTTTTCCATCGGGGACTACTGACTATATCCAAGGTACTTACGTGCACTGTGCAGTGTGTATAGCTGCATCCTATTCCTAACATTGTTAAAGGCATGCACATTGTGATCCGTGAAAAAAAAATGGTTCCTGTTTTTCCCCATAGCACCAATTTTGGGATTACGGATATCGAAGATCAATAAGACATTGCTTTCCGATGATGTCGCCGCTCATTGGTTTCCGTTTCTACTATCCCGCTCCATTGAGCTCCTTTTGCCTCTCCTCCCCGACCGTAGCCTCAGACGTCAAATCTGGCGCCCCACCCCGGGTCTTGGCCTCTGACTTCGCCGGCCGCCCAGCCACTCGGGTTAATGGGGAGTCGCCGGCCTTCGCGGGCTGTCCGTGCCGCTCTTCCGGCCGACTGGTGATCGCTACACACCGGAATGGGGCTTAGGGCTGAGGACGTTCGAACGGTCGGTCGGTCCGCTCCGAAACGCCGTCAGTGCTGCCAGCCGGATGGGAAAAAGGTGTCCCACACTGATGTGTCTGGTAGCTAGGAAAATGACATTGATTTACTTGTCTCGATCTATGTACTGAATGCTGAACAATCAATGAAACCTTTTTACTCAATGACTTTTGATACGACACTTCACTTGGCATGGTCTCCCAGCCGCAATCGTTTCGGCGGTTGCCAACGGCGACAACGCCCGTCATCTGACACCGCTAGCTATGAGCCGAGACGAGGTGTCTTGTTCGTCCGCGTGCCTCATCCCCCGCCGCGCTCATCGCCTCAGGCACTCCGGAATTCATGGTCTGGGCGGCAGGTTTAATGACATGAAAACTCAATCATCCGGGACTGCGCCGTGTGTGCCGTAACTTAGTCATTCATAGCGGCCGACATGGGGCGCCGGTACTACCCTGCCGAACGGCAACATCACATTCGCCGCAATGGTGCCGCCCAGGCAATGGGATGGCCCTCGAATGACCTCTGTTGTACCGCCGTGACCGTCTCGGAGAAAGAAACCAACTGGTCGCGGCGCGGTGGTCGGTGGGCAGGCAGACCGGGCTGCTTCATGGCACGGGCTTTGGTGCCTCAGTCTGGGCCGGCTCACACACACACGGAGAATGGAGGCACCGCCAAATGGGGACCCTTCCGTCCGGTCTTTGTTCGGCGCGATGTGTGTTTGCTGTGCCGTCGGAGGAGGTCGTGTTTAAGTGCCAGTCTGACAGTCCGCATCCCGTCCCAACCGGGTCAAGCTCAGACGTTTGTGTGCGCGCGTATCTGCCCTCACCATTGTCTGTGGAAACGCACGCACACCACTAACACACGCGCTTGTGTTCTTTCAGGAGGCGGAAAACGCGATCACAGCCATGAGCGGGCAGTATCTGGGCAGCAGAAATATCCGAACCAACTGGGCCACGCGCAAGCCGCCGGCTCCCAAAAACGACCGTGAGTAGCGCGCTGTGCCGTCCCCTATGTGCGCCACCCCCCCCCCCCCTCTGTGTGCCGTCCCGGGGCTCTCTCCCCCCCCCCCTCCGTACACACACCGCCAGCCAGTGATGACCGGCCGGCGCTCGGCAGGAAGCGGCCGGTCGTTACGGCGGCGCCGTGCCGTTCTTTCGTCACATTACCGCGGATGGGCCAGTTCTTATCTGGCTTTTGATGGTGCGTCTCCCGCAGCTTAGCGTGCATCACCATACATATTCATTGGTGTTAGGAAAACCATTAGAGTGTGCTCAGGCCCTGAATATGCAACGAGTGTCGGCGATAAGGTGTCTGGAGGCGGCTCGTGCTCGCGCGGCCCGATCGGCATCAGGTGGTGAGGTCGGTGACAGCTGGGTGACGGCTATGCTATGACAGCTCTGTCATCGGCCGCGCTGACAGGCCAGGCGGCGCGCGGGGCTCCAGTTGTGACTGCTCTGATTGCTGGGATGACAGGCGACCGGCCAGAGCCGTCACATTCGACACGGCGATGATCGGACAGTCTCCAATTCCGATTCGTCGCGATTTCTCAAAGCTTGGCTCCCTCTTTCTTTCCCTCTCTCTCCTTTCTCTTTCCTATTCGCTCTCTATCTCTCTCTTTTTCTCTTCCACCCTCTCTCCCCTCCCTCCTTTCTTTCCTTCTCCCCCAATATCGGTGCTGTGTCGCCCCTGGCAGCGGTGCGGGTGGCTTCTGTGATCCTGCCTCGGCCGGACCGACCCGCCGTTGACGGTCACACTCACCGCCCGTATTTATGTGCCGGCCCAGAGCCGACCCAGCTTTAAAATCCATCCCGTCTTGAACCCGCGTCATCTGACTCTCTCACTTCCTCTTTCGCTTTCATCATTACTCTTCCCTACTACTTCCCTCCTGTCCTCTCTATCTCTCGCCCGCTTCCTTTTTCTCTCCGCGTTCCCTTCGGCTCTTGTCCATTATGCTGGCATGCAGAGCGAAGTTTTGCCGTCACATGTCTTGAAGAATACCTAGCTACACTCGTCAACTAGATGATCATACCAAGGTAATTTCAAAGCACTTAAAAATGGACAATCTTAGCAGAAAGGCAGCGGATCGATGAAGGCGCCGTTTTGTCAATCGTTTACTGATTATGTAACCCCAGCCAGTCTGTAAATCCTTAGGCTGCTCGTGTGGAGTGCTGGGCGCGTTCATCAAAATTGTCACTTGACAACAGTAAATCTCTTATCCGTTTCTGCTTAAATCACTCTGGTGGCCAAATGTGCTACTTTGAGCGTCAACATCCCAATACGGCTGCACAAATGATGTGCTCTAGTTGTGGCATGTCAATGGTCTTCGGCTTCACCTAGTTAGCTGAGAACAGGATCAGTGCTGAGTGTGTCCGCTCCCTTCAGACTCATAATTGAGTTGACCACGGAGGCGAGATGGCTGTCCTACTTGGACACGTATTTGTTGGTCTATTTAGTTTTGTTTTGAGCTTGCACTGTACTGGAAGGAGGTGGACGTATTTATTCACGGTTCTACAGTCTACTGACCATCCCGTGGGAGATGTTCGTCACTCCTTATTGAGTTACAGCTAATGGAATGCTTTGGAAGAGACCCTGCAATGCGTGCCACTCAGGTTTCGGGCGACCGTGCTCAAAATAAGCCGTTCTCGAGGCCTTTATTTTCTTAGCGAGTCGCGATCTTGTTGTTCGGGAATCGAATTACAGCAGAGTTGTCTTCATATGTGCGCTCGGCGCGGTATCCTTTTTCCGTGCTGAAAATGCACCGTCCGTATCGGATGTGTTTTTCTTGTTCTTGACACATTTATGCTCCATCATGCTTGCGTTACGATGTAGCGTTGTCTCTCAAAACTAGCTTAGTGACAAAGCTTGTTTTTAATGGCTTTCACTTTATAGTTATTCCTCCGCAAATGTTTGTCATATCTATTTCCAAAAGGCCTGCCAAAGAAATATCGCTGTCGGTTTAAGTCTAGCTGCACCTCACGTAATGCTGTACTATTGAGACAATAATGGCGGATCTGGAGTGATCCTGCACGCGAGTGGCCGCGCCGACCGTGGTGTCAGTGCTGTGGTGGGGCGAGCTGATGGTCCGCCGGCCCGCGTAGCCGCCCCTCCCCCGGCGCCCCAGATAATTTACCGACATGTTTCCATGACACTGGCGGCGCAAACAAAGCCGCGCATGAAATGATGGCGCGGTTACGGCTCGGGCGCATGCCGACGGCGGCGACCAACACGTCAGCGAAAGGCGAGTTATGGCGCGGCCGGCACGGTTATGGCGCGACGCTGCCGCCACCGCTGCAGCCGAGTCGTCCACGACACTGGGATGCTCGCTCGCCACGGTCGCGACCTGCACGCTATCGTATCGGCGCCGTCCGCAGTTGCGGCGCTGTTTTCACGGCGACGTCTGTGCCGCTGATCGGCCCGAGGAGTCCATGTTTCTCGGCGAGTTGCCGTTTTATGTGGCGGCTTCGACCAAGTTTTTCGATTCGTTTGATGTTGCCGCCGATAACTGGCCCGGATGTGGTTGGAGTGGCGCTTAGAGGAGCCGCTGCGGCCAGCCACGACCAATAATAAATGCCCGGATGAGTTTGTCTCCAAGTTGGGGTGAGCCGGCGGTCGTTGGCGGCCTCATGGGAGGCTGTTGCGTGCCGTGGTCACGAGAGCTGGTGTTGTGCCTCATGTTCGATGGGACTTGATAGCAGCGAGATCGATGGTAGAAGCAGTAAACCAAATGAAGCATGAGAACGCATGAAAACTTGGATTGTTTCTTCCCTCCTTGATACGTGCTATGAATGTGAACAAGGGGAATGCAAACGTAAATCAATCGAAGCTGATGCTCCTCCGACAACATCGGCACGTCACTTTGAGCGTTGGTTGTCAACAGCAAATGAGCGGATATATGATAAATAGCGGCTTCAGCAGCTGTTGACTCACTTCTTGCAAAAATGTGGGTACTCGTGTTCCCATCGTAAGCAGTGTGTGTTTTCAGCCTCCTAAGGAAATGTCCGGTTGTAGCCGATCCGCCGATCCGGCCCGGTCCGGTCCGCCGATCCGGCCCGGTCCGATCCGCGGCGGACGGTCCGGTCCGGCCCGGCCCGCCGGCCCAGCGCCGCCGACACCGGGCACCAGGGGCGGGCGGACCGATTGTTTTTCCATCCGGTGTCGTTATGAGCGCCGGTAAAGAATGGCCACCGGGCCGGCGGCGGCGGCAGCTCTTCAGTTTCCGTCGCCGGCCGTCCGGGCGGCATCGATTAGCGGCCAATGAGCGCGCCTTTGTCCCGGCCGCGCCGCGACGGCCGCCGCCGGTGGGAGCCGACTCCGACTCCGACTCCGGCGGCCGGCTCATGAGGCGCTCCGCCGCCGCCGCCAGTGACACAGCGGCGCGCGTGACCGATGGCGTAGCACGCGCCGCCGGCTGTGACCGCCCCAGCCGCATTATGAAATGAGCCCTCGCTGTGACTAATTACTGTTTGCACAGGGCAGTCGGTATGAGCCGGCCGGCGGCGCTGCAGAGGCGCCGACCAGTGATGACCTCCGGCTGCGCTTTGCCGCCCGCCGCCCACCTTTGATGTTCCATGCTCGGTCCAAGGCGGAGTGCGGTATCACTCGGAACACGGTCGAGCAGCGCTGCGACCGCCGGCCGCCGCCGTCTGCGACGTGACCCTATCATTTACCACTCGGCAAGTGGCCGAGTATGACCGGCTGTCGTGCAGTCCAGTCACCAGGCCGTACCGGCCGAACGGCCGTGCGCTGAGCGCTACTGAGAACCCCACCGGCGGGAGGGGGAGGGGGCATAGGCTGCATGGGCGTCGCCAGTGGCCCGAGGAGGGAGGGGTACATCGGGGGGCATGAGCACCGCCAGTGCTGAAATGCTAACGACATGGAGTGGGGTGAACGTTCGAACCGATCATGACGCGCAACGGTCTGAAAGAAACATTACTGATTTACCCCTGTAGACTTGCCTGTACCACCTCCACTTGACAGTATGATCACAACCTCAAATAATCATCTTATTTTTTTATTATATCAGCTTGATATTTTGGTGCAGCATTATTAATCGAGGTTAACTGATGGCTCAGCCTGGGTGACGTTTGTCCGGTTTGTCCAAGGTAATGGGTGGAGAATGACTAACTGGCTGCCGGCGAAGCTAGATCATTCTGTGATTTTATCCCAATCGTGCTATCCCCGGACAGGGCAACATCCTCCAAAATCAAACAACATAGCAACGGACTCACAACACCCATTGACGTAGAAATGGGATTTTGTTGGAAATGCCGCTGTGAAGTTGACATTCAATTTTGACAATAAATAAAGCGGATCATGTTTCATTGTTCACGGAACAGCCCGAGGAATCCCCCGCGGGCGTTTCCGCTAAAACCATCACAGCACCGCCGAGTCTTTGATTGAGTGGCTTGATCTTCACGGGGTATTGGGTGGCGTACCGATCTGTTCACCGAACAAAATATTGGACGGTATTGATAGAGTAATGCTGACTTTATAGGAAATGTCTATGTTACTGGGATAACTATTTTCATGGCTTCCATTTCACTGAGGACGTCAGCACTCGACGTGGTGGATTCTCATTTACCATGCCAACGAGACCGGAAACTATTCCTATATTTGCAATGAAATTCTTGGCATCGTTGTTTTTGCTTCTAAGATGTTGCCAGAATTACTGCATTTGGTCTGTTAACAACGTTCAAATTATTAGATTAAGACCGTTACGATAACAGAAACGCGGCAGAGATACACCTAATCAAACCGTTTCGGCAAGAGTTACGACTCGAATACAAACTTAATCTAGCCTTTATGCTACTGTTACCTCGTTATCTGCATCTGTAAAGCATCCTTTTTATGGCGCTAAGTGCTCATAATTTAATTAGCTGGCTCATCTGAAATTATTCATAATTAGTGAGATCAGCGGCCGGCGTGGTGCGGACGCCATTATATACCAGTTAGTGTCGCATGGGGCCGACTGGTAGTCGTCCGCGCACCACGCGGCGGCAGAGTCCTCCTCCTCCTCCTCCTCCTCCTCCTCCTCCTCCTCCTCCTCCTCCTCCTCCTCCTCCTCCTCCTCCTCCTCCTCCTCCTCCTCCTCCTCCTCCTCCTCCTCCTCCTCCTCCTCCTCCTCCTCCTCCTCCTCCTCCTCCTCCTCCTCCTCCTCCTCCTCCTCCTCCTCCTCCTCCTCCTCCTCCTCCTCCTCCTCCTCCTCCTCCTCCTCCTCCTCCTCCTCCTCCTCCTCCTCCTCCTCTGTGGAAGACGGGCTTACCGCCGTTGGTGGCAGTGTTCGTTATGGGCCGGGCCAGCCCAATGAGCCATGGGCTGGGCTGGGCTACGGGCTGGGCTGGGCCCTCAAATATGCAGGATCGATGGGCTGTGGATGGGCTGGGCCAGGGACTGTTAAGTTGAGTCGGGGGTTCGCAACTGAGACAATAACTATAACTACATACACGGCTTATTACTGTGCAAGACGAGTTAATCGCATGTAGAGCAATCGCAAACGAGTTAATAAAGCACACATGCAATGTGCATTGTGCATGCTGCTAGCAAAAGATTGTTGTTTGCTAATACCTATGGATGCCTGTGTGGTGTCATTAATTTTTAATCCATTCATTTTGACCGGCTGGGCCGGGCTGGGCTTTGACGCTTTTACCATGAATGGGCTCGGGCTGGGCCGGGCTGTGAACCCATGGGCCTGGGCCGGGCTGGACTGGGATTTTGCGGCCCGTGGCGAACACTGGTTGGTGGGAGTCGGCGGCTGTCGCTCCTTGAATCAACAGAGAACAGAGGGTGCTACGGAATGATATCCACTCGCGAAAGGAGTTGCGTGCCATGCTGTCATGGGCATAGTCGCAAATCATCGTGTCAACTGCCAGTGGACAACGCAGGAAAGATAACGCTGTACCCATGTCCAAAGGATGGATGATTACACTTCTGCTAAAGATTCTGAGTTGTTACTGCCGGGGTTACATTGGACCAGAGCGGTTGGGGTTGATGTCGAGTTCGGACGTTGTTGGCTGTTCGTTTTTGTCGTGCTGGCTGCTGGTGGCCGCCGGATCCGGTAGTCGGGTTGAGTCGGCGTTTCTCCGGTTCCATTGTTCGGCTGTCGCTCGGCGGAGCCGCTCCGCACAGTGCCGGCGGACACTGCAGCGGACACGGCCCGGAAGGCGGCCCTCGATCGCGTCCCGCACGGGAAGCGGCTGTGGCAGCTGCGCCGGCCCCGGGCGGCTGCGGCTGCGGCGGCCCGGTCCGACCACTAACCGGCGCGGAAGCCGGCTGTCACTGCGGCGGGCGGCCCGTTCCGGCGCTGCTCGATAAATGGTGGCGGAGACGGCCGAGCTGACCGGTCGGGACACACCGCTCCGGGGCGCCGCACAGGGTCGACCGCCGACCGCCGACGTGTCGTTTGTATTGGACGCCGCCCATTGATGGACGGTGTGCCGGGGGGGGGGGGGCTCTGTCGATGGTGTGGGAGGGTGCTTATCGATGTGCCATGCGAGTGTGTTATCGAAGCGCGGTGTGCGCGCCGCGCCCGCCACTGTCGCCTGCGTGTGTGTATAGATCCAGCCACGGAGTGGATACCCACTCGAGCCATCGAGTGCCCCTTCTTGATTGATGTGGAGCGGCAGGTAAATTGGCGTCATGACAGTAGCTTCTGCTTGTCCATTGTATGTATTGGCTCTTCACGAGTCTCTTAGCCTTATCTCAGTTTGAACCAGAACAAAAATGCGAATGCCCCTCTCTCTCTCTCTCTCTCTCTCTCTCTCTCTCTCTCTCTCTCTCTCTCTCTCTCTCTCTCTCTCTCTCCCCGCCCTCGTCCTTTGGCCTCAGCCAAGCGCGTGGCGCCAGAGTGCAGGGGTCAGCCGCTGCGATTGACCCGGTAGACCCGGACCTGCCAGCCGCTCCGTTTGCGATTGACCCGGCAGTAGTTTCGTCTGATCGCCGTCTCGCCACGCCGATGCAATGTACAGAGCAGGCGCTTTAAATGCATGCCGCTGGCCGCTGGCACCGACCCCGGCGCACAGCCTCCGAATGACCCCCTCCCGACCGATTCCCGACTGGTTCTGCGACCCCTGCGCAGTGCGCACAGTATCCGGCACACCTTCCGACCCCGGCACGCAGTAGGTCCCCAATGGAAGATGCCACGGCGTGGGTGCACGGTTTACACGACTCTGTGACCCGGTCACCACGGAGGGGTGTCAGCCGGTGGGCGTTGAACTCTGCGGACCTGATCGGCGAGCCGGCCTTCAGGCTCATCCAAAACTCGGCCCACTCCAAAGCGTCTCTGCCGGCCGCGGAACGGCGCCGCTTTGGTCCCGGGCCCATATTATTGTCTGTTGTTAATTGGGCGAATGCTTCGAACACCCTCCTCGAGACCGTTGCGTTGATTAAATGCCGGCGGCGACGCAGAAGTTTTTAATTAGAGCTTTGTACCTCTGCAGGCGCGCACGGCGGAATATAATTGATCGTTTTGAGTTGGTGCCCGAGCGGAGACAAGCTGCACGCCTTGCAAACTAAGACCATTCATCCGAGCGAGCGGGCCTGACGATCGGCCGGCGGCCGGCAGACCCGGCTGACGGTACTATACACCTACGGAGACCCGTTCACCGGTCGCTCGGCACTTCCTCAGTATTCACTCAGCTAACGAACCGCGCCCTATGCGACGACTTTATCTGAAAGGGCTCACTTTTAGGTAAAGTTGCACGGCTTCTTTAATGACTTGTGCGGCGCCGGAGCTCGGTGCGCACTGCGCAGTGAGCCCCGCGGCGGGTATGCCTATACGTTCCGGCCGTGCGCCGCGCACAGCGCCAGGTAATGAGTGCTCCAGTTTACACCGACGTTATGGAGCTAATTCTGCGACGGGCCGCCCCCCCCCCGCGCCCTCCCCCGGGTCACTGTTTACGGGCGGGGCGGAGGGGCGCGGTCGATATCGCTCACCCTGTGGAAAATGACAGGTGAACAATGCGGACGGGCGCGACCTCCGCTTCGTGTGGACGCAGGCCGGAACCGACCCTTCGTCAGCAGAAGCTCAAATGGCGCTGCTGGCGGGGTGAACTCCACGACCCCCTGCCCGTTAGTGATCTGTGTCGAACATCTTCGATTCGGCTGTTCGTGACCTTTGTGGTATCCTCCAGGGACCGTCAGTAACCGTCAGTGGTGTCCAGTGACGTTCATTGACATCCCGTGACCTCCAGTATCCACCAGTGACGTCTATTGACCGTCAGTGACGTTCAGTGACCTCCAGTGGCCACCAGTGACGTCCAGTGCCCGTCGGTGGCGTGCCGTCGGTGACCCTCCGCCGCCGTCGCCGGTCCGCCGGGACTCACCGAGGTGGCCAGTTTACGGCCTTTTTATGCGGCCGCCGCAGGCCGGGCGTGGCCGCTCGACACGTCTATCGGCCGTGCTCGCCACGCCAGCACGGCCGTCTGCGCCGCCAACGGCCGCCCCGCACGCCGCCGCGCCGCCCGGGTCGCCGGTGGTCACGTGCCCGAAGCGGGGCGCACGGTGGCGCCCGTGGGGCGGTCACGTGGCCCGTAGGGGAGGATGGTATGTGGCGGACGGTAGTGACACGGTGTGGGATGGGCGCAGGTGACATAGACAGCCCAGGCCCCTGATTGACAGCTGGGTGACTCCTGACCTGACCGGCGTCCGGCCCTTCGTCCGCTGGGAAATCCTGACGACTACCAGTCAGTTTCAGTTCTCCCGGCTTTGACAGCTACCAGCTCGCTATCGCTGCGTAGATGCAACAAATAAGCCACAGTCGGCACGGTGTCGTAGTTATCGTTTGAAGCGCATTTCATTTATCACATTTTACGCAATGGCGACGATTTGTCAGGAGCTACTTACCTACCCTTCGTTTAGTGTTTGGAGGATTACATAACCCCGTTTAGCAAGTGTTGTTTCCGCCACCGCCGGCTGTCTGGCTGCCAGTTCGGTGGACGGATCCCGAGCGCAGCGTCCCAGGTGCCGAAGGGCTCTCTGGGTCACTGAGACTAGGCATTCCGCCGGGTGTATTATGTATTGACATGGCTCATCGGTACGCCGGCGGCTCCATGGACTCCCAAATGGGCCGATTTCTTGGCTATAAATATCCTAGTCTGAGGCTCCGTGTGGCGGCCCTCTATTCCGCTAAAGTGGGGTTTATGTGGTGCGCGGCTCCACCTGCGGCGCTGGCGGCTGTGATGAACCTGTCTGGCGGGCGTCTGAAACGTGCCTTAGCGACTGACGAGGCCCTGCGGCCTGCCGTTCCCCGTTCCCGCCTCGGCTGGTGCGGAGGGCTCAGTCTGTGGAATCGCCGCCTGGGAGTGTCACGTTTTGGTCCCCGAGTGTGTTTATCAGACGTTGCCATGTCCGGATTGTGATAACGACCTAACTTATTGCGTGTCGCTTTGCCGTGGATGAGATAGCTGTGCGTCTTGTTTTAGTTTAGACTGATCACTGATTTAGTTCATCACGTCTAAATCCCAGTCCCTCTATGTTTCAGCCAACGCGAAGCCGCTCAGTTACGAGGAAGTGTTCAACCAGAGCTCGCCGACCAACTTCACTGTCTACTGCGGCGGCGTGACGCTGGGCCTCTCCGAGGAGCTCATACAGAAGACCTTCAGTCCGTACGGCCTCATACACGAGATCCGGGTCTTCAAGGACAAGGGATACGCCTTCGTCAGGTGAGCCATCCACCGCCGTAATTATGGCATGGAGATGCCGCGGATACGGTAGTGAGTGAACTGAGCAGCTGCGACTTGTCAAACAGGACGGGGCTGTGTTCTTGTCAGTTAGTTGCAATGTTGCCGCTTCTCCGTGTGCCGTTAAAGTGGCCGTGTAGCTGGGTGACCAGGGGAGAGTTATGGAAGGTGGGGGATGCAGAGCGCCGCTGCACCATTGGCTCGCACGTGCCGGCTCTGACGTGGGTTGATGCAATTTAGCGTGCCGCGTGTCCAGAGAGGAATGTCGTGTCGCCGGCTGGCCGGTGTGTCGCAGCCGATTACTGCTGTCGTGGGGGGACGGGGGGGGGACGGGGGGACGGGATGGGACAGAGCGAGAATGTGGCGGAATAGGCGAGCCAGTCCCTCTTCTGCAGCGATGTTTGGATGGGGTGGACTGATCAATGATCATTCCCGGCTTGGAGTGACATTATGTGATTAAATGGCCTCCCACTCTGAGCTGAAGTACGATTTCATTTTTACCCGTTTGTTTTTGACGTGTGTGTACTATAATCATTCATTTTTTCCGTCGCTCTAAATAGCGGCACTCTGATGGTAGTTTTCATTTCTGGCTCGTCCAGCTATCGATTTCGCTGGCTGAGTCAGTCATTAGTGTCGTGCAGTTACTCAAGTTATGTATTTGCTCCGGTAAAGTTGGCCATATGACATGCTGCGCGGCTCGCTTGCCTTTCATCTTGTCGCAAACAAGTTAATTGCCTCTTGCAAACTACACTCGTCCGCTGGAGTAACGCAGCGGTGCGGTCGCTAGGCTCTCGTTTATCGTTTCGTCGCAGCGATTGTGATTAATGGATGTGTTGCCTCTTTAGTGTGTATTTCCCATGGGCGTTGTCGCTAGGTTTTTTGTTCGATGGGTGATCGGCGGGGCGCCTACGTTGACATATGGCATGCGGTGTGGGGAAAGTCATGCCTTGTATTGTCGGAATGGGGGCAGCACACCGGTGGCTGTGGGAGCGGTTGTGGGCATTGCTAGGCCCCAGATGGACCATGGGGATCCCGTTTGGTCGGGTATAAACATCACATGTTGGCTAACTCATTGGTGATCTATTGCGCTTTGACTGGGACTTGGGCCATTGGCTGTCGAGAAGTTTGACCTTTTAGATCTGGATCTCGGCTTCTGGGGGAATATGACCGCTATCTATCCATTGACGTCAGTGTCACCGATAGGGCGTTCCCGAGCCGGCTGGGTCACGGGGAGGTCAAGTCCCCTGGGGGAGCACCTCGCGGCCCGCCGGATCCCACGCCGGAGCCCGCTGGCACCGCCGCCCATATGAGCTCCAGTGAGCTGACAGCCCTGGATCGGCGCCATGCATTACCGCCATGTAGCCCGCCCAATTAACTGTCCCGGGCCGTCAGTTGTCGCTGACGACAGGGCGGTACCGGCCGGCTGCAGGACCCGGAGACTGGCCCGGCGCGGCGGGGCGGTCCTGGGGGCTGAACTGTGACCCCGCCCCAGCCACCGCGGCCGGTGTACCGGCGGACAGGCCGCAGACGGCCGCCGCCGACAGGCCGGCCGCCGCCCCTGATGGCCGACCCTTGTCGTCACCGGCTAATCCGCCGGAGGGCAGCACGTCGCCCCAGCCCGGCCCGGCGTGACCCCGGCCACCGACCGGGCCGGTCACTGGCCGCCGCGCCGGCCGTCTCTGTCACCGGCCGCCGCGCCCGCCGCGGCCGTCTCTGTCACCAGCCGCCGCGCCCGCCGTCTCTGTCACCAGCCGCCGCGCCGGCCGTCTCTGTCACTGGCCGCCGCGCCCGCCGTCTCTGTCACCGGCCGCCGGCGGCGGCCGTCTCTGTCACCAGCCGCCGCGCCCGCCATCTCTGTCACCAGCCGCCGCGCCGGCCGTCTCTGTCACCGGCCGCCGCGCCTGCCGCGCCCCTCCGCTGACCGGGGCGGGCTCGGCCGCGGGTCTGCGCTCCGTCGATGGCCGCACCTCTCCCCACGCTCCCGTCGGCCAAATTTGATTTGTTCAGCGGCCGGCGGGCTTCATTCGTTATGGGCAGCACGGATCAGTCATTGATGCACGGTGCTGGTGGGCCAGGTTAAAAGTTAACGCGGCGCGCGGCGCGCTCCGGGTCGGTCCATTTCGCCTGCCGGTGGCACCGCCCGGCTGGTCCGAACGAGACCGCGTCCCCGCAGGGACCGCCCCGGACCGGTCTTATGTAACCGGCCGGACCTTAGTGTCAGAGATCAATTGATTGACTGGTCTGAAAAGTGGCGTGGGATAGGAATTTATAGATGAAGCTTATTTTAACATTGGAAGTCAGCGCATGAATGAAAGAAGCTGCTCAGTCGTTGGCGAAAATAAAGCACGAGGGACTAAAATAGCGGGTCTTATTTGCAGTACAGTCGTGTACAGGTTGATGGTCCGCCCATACGGGTTTACATTTAAGTTTACAGTTGAACCCGTAGATATCACTAACTTAGGCCGTGAAGTTACTGAAACTAGAGCATTACCTCAGGCCGGTGCGGAGGTCTGTGTTTTGCAACTCTCCCAGCGGGAGCAGGACGCTGAAGGCACACACATCAATAATCGGACCAATACGGCCGTGTGCGCGGCCAATACGTTGGCGGCGCCTGGCTCTCGGCAGGGCCACCGCTCGGTCACACGCCAAGGCCAGTGTGTCGGGCTGTGCCGCCGGCCGCTGTTACCAGGCGCCTCTGCGGCACAGCAGCTGTCGCAACATGGAAAACCGGGAAGTTCTGTTTGACTCCGTCTGTTCCAATCATATGGATCAATGTGTTCTTGCACCTAAAAAAATACCTGAATAGCGTGCCGTCTATTTCAAAGCAAATGAAAAGGTAACTCTTTGCTGTTCAGCGATAAAATATCGGAGAAATGTACTGAGCTTTCTCAGCCGGGGAGCACCTGACCATTTCTCCGGCGGGTATATGGGTGGGATTCCCCGCGGTCGGGTGCGGTGCTCCAGCTGCGCCCTCCCCCTCCCCTCCCCCGGTCCCCACCCCGCGGGCCGGCGGCACTCATACGCGGCCGGAAAGTCGATCGGGTGCCGTCGCCACCGGCCGATCCATCGCGGCGCGCACCGGCTCGCAATGGGCCTTATTTGCAGCTGATTTATGCGCTGCCCAGATGACGGATTGACGATACGCCGCCGCCGCGCCGCGTCGGGTTATACAATGAAGCCATCGCGTGCCTCGTGTCGGCTCTTCTGTTGATACGTGCTCGTCCGAGGACGACCTAAGCATCGACCGGAGCGGCCGTCGGACGTGCTGCGCCCAGATGTATGCATCGGTTTTAGATTGTTTGACTAAGCAGGCGTCTTGGGCGGAGTGCGCCAGCCCCCGGGCGGGCTTTACGGCTGTTTTATCGGCGCCGATGGCCCGCCGTACAGCCTCGCCCGATGTATCGGGGTGGTGTTGTCGGGCTCGATGGCCGTCAGTGCATTTCGCCGGGTCCGCCCGCTGATGGCCTGAGGCGACCGGCGGGGTCAGCGGCTCGCACGGGACCCGAACTGACTCCGAGCGCCGATAGGGCCGGGCCGGCTGATTGGAGGGCGCCGCTGTCAGACGGACCGGGAGGGACCCTGTCCGGACGGCAGCCGGACAGCCGACCCGACCTCCACTCGGCCGTGGCCTCTGACAGGGCCCCTCAGACGGCCGCTGACAGACTCTGAACCCCTCAGCTGACTTCTGATAGACGCAGAACCCCACAGACTGCCCCCCCCCCCCCCGTCAGTCGCCCTCTGACCGACATCCCCCCCCCCCCACTCCTTGCAGGTTCTCCACCAAAGAGTCGGCCACCAACGCCATCGTCTCTGTGCACAACACCGAGATCAACGGCCAGCTGGTCAAGTGCTCCTGGGGCAAGGAGTCGGGCGACCCGAACCACGCGCCGGCCGCCGGCGGCCCGGCCGGCTTCGCGCCGCTGCCGGCCGCCGGCGCCCAGTACCCGTACAACGGCTACGGCCAGATGGGCTACTGGTACCCGCAGGGCTACCCGGCCGCCGCGCAGATGCAGGGCATGCAGGGCTACGGCATCCAGTACGGCTACCAGTACGGCTACCAGCAGGGGTGAGTGCTGCACGCGCCCGCACCGCCCGCACCCCACATTTTGCCACTCGGCGCCTCTCTCTCTCTATCAGTACCTCGCATTTTGATTACGTTGTTGATTATTGCATCTGGAAGGAATGAGCGCTGCTGCATCCCTGGCTCTGGTTTATTATCATTGTTGCCCTTTGACCAGTTTGTTTTCTCGAGCGGGCTGCTGGGCGGCAGTCGTCAGCTTTTGTTTACTTGGTTTTATTTGGTTCTTTTTAGTGGCATGCCGCCGAACTTCGGAGGAGCGCAGGGCGGACCGCAGGGTGGACCGCAGGGCGGACCGCCGTCGTAGTGGGTGGCCGGTGCGGCGGCGCGCGCCGCACTGAGACTGAGACCAGGTGGCCGGTGTCGGCCCGTGTCGGCAGACGCGCTCGATCTGATGGACAGAGACGGACCGGGCTAAGGAGCCGGCCGCCGCCTGCGCCCCAGGGTGGCCGGGCAGCTCCACTGTGCGTCTATGTGTGGCTGTGTGTTTGTGTGAACGTTGGTGGGGTCCGACTGGCCGGCCGGCCCGGCTCGGCGGCATGGTATGACCGTCGGAAGGCCCGTCCGCCGGTGCATGTCGGCAGCGTCTCAGAGCTGCCGGACAGGGAGTGGCGGCGCCCCGGCCGGCCCGGCCGCGCCGCTCCGTACCTGTCAGCACGCGTCCCATCCTGTGCATTGTGACAGACGTGACTGTGCACCGCCGGCACACTGCCCGCGCGGTGCACTCAGACACCGCGAATAGTGGCACACAAATACAACATTCAGTGTCCAAACTTTCACTGGCCTCCCGCGCGGCTAATTGAGTTGCCGGTCTGGACTGAGCGGTGGGTGAGCTGGGTGCTCTTACCGAGGGCGCTTTACGATCTGTCGGCATTACGTGCGGAGAAGTTTGTTTTAACTAAGCCAGCTCCTTTTGTGAGCGCGCCGGCGGCGGTCGGGCGCGGCGCAGCGCTCACCGAGCAGGCGCTGCTACTGACGAGGATCTGTCCTTGTCCCGCGGGAAATCAGGCCGTCCTCGGCGCTGTCATATAAAAACTCTAATCAAATCGCCAAATATGCCCGTCCGGCCGGCGGCGCCGCGCCGGGGGAGGGACTCGCTCCCAGGCCGTGCGTGCTGGTCCGGCGCAGCGGCCCGGAGCGGCGCGGACTCGGCAGCGGGACCGTGCACCGAGCAGGGCAGGGGAATCCGCGGACCATCCCAGGGGCGGTGACCCAAGGCTCTATCTCTCTGAACGGGTGAATAAAACGCTGTTTCGTTATGACTCATTTCGGTCAGAACGATCAGGTAACCCTTTTCTATTTTATATAACTAACTATTAGAGCTGACGCTTTCATACAGTATACGGCCGTATCGAAGATGATGCTAACATATTCAATGCAAGAGCAGCGTATTGCACCTGACAAGAGCACAATCGTTATTTGGCGTCACGTCAACCATTCGGAATTCATCTCTGAAAAATGTTAGTTGAATAGTGTCCTTCATCATAACTTCAAAAGCAGGAATGCAAATACGGTAGATGTCCAAAATGATCACTTGCAAAGGGCTTTGCAGCTCCGTTTTCATTGAAACCAAGAGTCTGAAAACAATCGTGCCGGTCCAGATGAGCGCTTTGTTTGAGGAGCTGGAGACACTGTCCGAGCGGCCGTTATATATGACGTCCGGCGGCGGACAGGATAGATGAGGCCCATTCAGCGGCGTGGCACGTCGCCGTACCGGGCGGACCGGCGCCGTCCGTCTCGCGTCCGGCGCCGCGCGCCACGGCCATGGACCGGCCGCCGCACCGTCCCGGCCGCAGAAAAACGCCGCCTTCTTAGCCGCCACGGCAGCCACCAGTTAAATATTCATGCACATTCACACGCGTTGTTATGCTGCTTTGAAGGCGGCGCGGTGCGGCGGCGGCCGGGCGGGCGGCCGGCTCATGTTTAAACCATGGCCTGTATGGCTGGGAGAGGACCTCGGACGCCGCGGGGCCGCCGTCGACGGTGGATCAGTCGCCGCCCGGCGGGGTGACGGACCATCTGAGGGGATGGGGACCGGCTCCGCGCCTCACACCGTCCGCGGATGACCAGGGCAGGTCAGTCTGACCACGGACAGGGGTATGTAGGCTCGTGTAGTGCTGGGAGATCCCGTCTGCCGAACCGTCTGGGATGGTCGTACTCGGCCATCTGCGGGGGTGAGAATGCCGGCCGTTCTCTCCTACCCCAACACACTATTCTTTGGAAGATAATTCAGTTATCATTTTGACGGTCTCAAACTGTTTGCCTCATTCGCACGCATATTTAATCCTGCGGATCAACAGTGGAAAAAAATACAGACGCCATTGTTCCCAAGTGGAGATGCTGGTAATCCTCTCTGAGTACTTTCGCCTCGTAATGCTATTTTGCCTATGACAGCCTTGTTAGGACCCGGTAGTGTGAACGAGCTTTTGTTTGATGACTTGCCCTCAGTAAAGCCGCTAGCGAAGAGCTCTCGTAAATCTTGATTCGCCACTTAATTTTACGTCTTATTCACTATCGCAGGCTGCTAGTGGAGGCTCAGATAATGCGATTTGTTCCAGTGTTAGCACCTGAAACGGGTGCTTTGTTTTGTCCCGCCTTTGCTCTCCCGCTAAGATCTGCAGCGAAAGACGCTTTGTTTTGGGTAGTTGCCACCTGCTTTCTTCAGATCAATGTTTAATATTCTTATTCTGCAAGTACAATTAAACTTGAATAATTCAGATCGGAAATGAAGATACTTGTTTCAACGTTAATGGTTTCTTAGATTAGTACGTAAATACCAATTGTTCAATGTGTAACACGGTGGCAAGGCCGGGATGAGCAATATGCATCACTTATGCATCAGTCATCACAGAACCTGTGCGAGACGCAGCTGCAGCGATTAGCATGCACAATACAAATACAGCTCTGTACTGAGTGTGCGTTATCCGGCATTATGCATATTGCGTGCAGACGGCACAGTAAATTGCAGTGGATGTAGGCGTGTTATCGGCCACAGTGTGCAAGTAGATGTTGAAGGTATGACACAGTGCACAGTGACGTTTTATCCGGCCCAGCAAACGTTCAGATACACACAGACGTGTTATCTGGTACAGTTAACGTACAGATACACACATATCGTGTTATCCGGTACAGTGTACAAATGCACACAGACGCGCCGCACATAATGTAAAAAAGTAATAATTTGTTCGCGGCAGTTTATCGGTCTCCTTCGGGTTTCTAGGTTCATCATTTATACATATAACTAGTGCATGGTTGTGTGTAGTTTGGCGTTTAGTTTCACCCGAACTGCAGACGACCCGATGTAAACGGAAATACTCAGCTGCACGAGGTAGGTTTGCCCTCGCAAGGGCTGAACGAAATTTAATTCTAAATCCAGCGCAGTTGTGCGAATTTAGCCAAACCTTTTCGGTCATCTTGACATTGACTAATGTGCTTTATTGTTGATAAAACGCTCTAGACCAGAAGGAACGTGGTACCTTTGATATCAATGACCTGAAAAGAGATAAATCTTCAACATTTTAACTGCAGAGGTGGCATTGAATTAAACCATCACCAACGAATATCAGTAGATATCATTGAAGTAAGAGGCAACATTGCAATGATGCATCAGTGATAAATCTAGGATGTTGTGAATGGAACCGCATGCATATGTGTTATGCAATATACCATATTATGCAATATTATGCAATGGTAGTGTGCAGTCAACTTGTTTTTCAAGCAATATGCTTCAGTTAAATTGTGTGAACGATCAACGCCAATATCTCTATATCTATGCATGTAAATTATGCCTACATTCTACGATGTTGTGTGTTCAAGACGCAGTGAAAAGACACAAACACTTTTTCGCTGCTTTGCATGATTCTCCAAGCATCATTGTTGTCACAATAGAGGAATTGAATGCGCATATAAAGGTGGGTATTTTCAGCGGACATCTTTTAATAAGTATAGGTAATGCTCAATAACGTCAGTAAATTTTTGTCCCCGATGTCTGTATGAATATTAGACGTAAAAGTTGCTTTTTTGCCCTTGACGTCTATACCTAATCACGCATTAAATAAGCACAATGAGGGATGTGCTTTGATTTAAACGGCAATTAGATTTAATTGAGGCCATTTGCTAACATAATTTACATTATATTATTAATCATTGATTTTACATACGAAATGATACAAAGTCATCTTGCACGTCACCCAACAATAGTAACGAGGTGTCGGTGCGTCGCGTCTCGACACTATCGCCCCTCCCCCTGTGATCAGTGCTGACCGTGTATGGCTGTTCACAGGATGGGCATGCAGGTGCCGTACGCGATGCCCGGCCAGCCGCACATGGCCGGCCAGCAGATGGTGCAGCAGCCGGCGGGCGTGATGGGCGCCGCCTACCCGGTCCAACAGTTCCAGGTCAGTCCGCGTATACCCGGTCCAACAGCTCCATGGGTCAGTCAACAGTCGCACTCTGGCTGCAGTGCCTCGTTAGCGTTTTACGTAACACCTTGGCGGGAGTGTTAAGTCCTAATGCTCGACAGCGTTAATCATCTAACGCCAACTCGCCCGGTGAGTGAGTCACGGCGCTGAGCGTCCCTGCCCCGCCGTGGGCGCCCCATCTAGCCGGCTTGCCACCGCCGTGTCGGTCCGCCCGGAGCGTCGCGCCGGCCAGGTCAGGCCGGGCCGCCTCATTGGCCGTAATTTCCGTTAGCTCTGTGCCCGGCGCGCTCGAATAGTGCGCGAGAATGGCGGCCGGGCTCACTGGAATGGTGCTTTCCGTAATGGAGGATTGCCAGCCAAAATGAGTTTTTGTCGCGGGACTTCATTGGAGTAAGTGCTAATTTAGTCGGACGATAAACGGTGCCCTTTCCCGGATGTTTCGATATAGCGTGATAATGATTGCCTACATGGGCACTCGTCGGATTGCCGCTGCACCGCTGATTAGTCTAATCTCGAAGTCTCCGCCGTTTCAAAGGTGGAGCCATTTTTAAAAGTTCCAGTATCTCGGAGCTACACCTATCATTAGAGTCGAAATAGAATGAAAATATAATTATTCGTGCTTTCATCACATTACTATGTACTTTCCAAAGTCTCAACGTAAAAAAAAGAAATGTTAAATCTCGATCAAGTCACTTCCTTGAAACTCTGGTATTCTACATGGCGAGTACTTTTTCAGTTTTTCCTATGTGTAGGAACCGTTTTCGTTTTATTGAGAGGTGTTCAATTTAAAGCAAACGAGACGGCAAAATGGAAAGCATTCGCCAAGTACCTTGTTTTTATTAAAAACAACTGTTACCAGAAGTTTTTTCAATAAGTCAAACCTATATTTATACATGGTATGAAAATCAAATGCAAATATACTTACGTAGGAAAATATCGAAAAGAATAGTAATGTGGTCTTCAATTATAGCTATAGAAAGTGAGGTTTTTGTTCTGCAGTCGGACAAAGCCGTAATTGTCAAACATTGCATTATCTACCAAAGATAGCATTGGCTGCTTGTCTTCAATTAAAACACAGTCTCGAACGGTGGCAGAATTGGCTGTCCTATGGCACACCCGTCAGTATGCATAATGAAAGGGCCGCTCGCCCACCCACCTGGCACAGGAGCCTGCCCCCGAATTGGTACAGCTATCGGCGGCGTTATCTTGAACGGGGCAGCGCGCCGTCAGCGGTTGGCGTGTATCTTCCATTACCAGGTGTAATAAAACGACGCGCCCCGGGCACATAAAACAATAATAACGGCCGGCCCGGCCCGGATGATATGGCACTGGGAGAGTGGTCGGGTCACTGGACGGGCTGACGGCGGGAGAGGGGAGGGGAGGGGACCCTCGCAGGGACAGCGCGGTCAGGTCAGTCACAGTGGACCAACTGACGGCGGGAGAGGGGAGGGGAGGGACCCTCGCAGGGACAGCGCGGTCAGATCAGTGGACCAACTGACGGCGGGAGAGGGGAGGGGACCCTCGCAGGGACAGCGCGGTCAGGTCAGTGGACCAACTGACGGCGGGAGAAGGGAGGGGAGGGGCGCACCGCAAGGACAGAGCGGTCATCTGTACGTGCTGACGGAGGGAGAGGGGAGCCTCGCATCGGTTTGCTGGCAAGTGATGTAACGATCCCCCATGTTTGTTTTTTCGACAGTAGCTGTAACGATCCCCTGTGTTTGTTTGTCGACAGGCGCTGTAAATATTTCTTATGTTTGTTTGTCGACAGGTGCTGTAACGATCTTACTTACCTGTTTGTTTGTTGACAGGTGCTTTAACTATCCTCTATTTGTTGGTCGACTGGTGCAGTTACCTCTCCTCTGTTTGTAGCAGTCTCTGTAACCTCCCCGTATGTTTGTTTGTTTTGGTTGTCAACAGGTGTTCTAACGATTCCCTGTGTTTTTTTTGTCGACAGGTGCTGTAATCGTCCCCTCTGTTTGTTAACAGGTTTTGTAACGCCCCTCTGTTTGTTTGTTGGTAGGTGATGTAACCGTCTCCTTTGTTTGTTTGTTGACCGATCCCCTCTGTTTGTTTTTTGGTGGGTGCTGTAACGCCCCTGGCTGTTTGTTTGTTGGTAGGTGCTGTAACCGTCTCCTTTGTTTGTTTGTTGACGGATCCCCTTTGTTTGTCGCCAGGTGCTGTAACGATCCGGCCTGGATCACGGACCGGTCAGCGCCGCGTTTGCAGTGTGATATATGCGAGCGAGGCGGGGCGCGCGGCCGGCCGGCGCAGTTGGAGCGACAGGAGAGCGCCAGGGAGACCGACCCGCTCAGACCAGCGCGGCCGCCGCCGTCGCCTCCAGCCACCACACACAGCAACACACACACACACATACACACACACAGACACACACATACAAACGTCAGACAGCATTCGATCCATGCCAGCGACATGTTCATCGATACATTACACACAGAGCCCGGCATGGTTGCAATATATACTAGGATAAGCAGAGATGTACACGTCCACGCACACGCAGGCATGCGAAGACATGATCGACGACTGCGGGATTCAGACGACGGCTTACGCGACCTTCTGACATTCCATCGGGAAGACAATCGGGCTCAAGTTTCTGTTTTCAAGCGGAGACTGCTGACTCGTTACTGGCCAGAGGCGCGTTACTGGGGCATTATTTTTGCGCGGCCTGAGTTGACGGGTGGGCCGTTCCCGGCGGCCCGCGACGATCCGTGGTCGCCCCGGACGGGACGGCCGCCGGCCGGGGCCTCTATTTTGCTAAGTCTGTGTGGTGGGTACCGAGCGGCGACTCCGAGCCGCGCGGCTGCATGTCGATGTGTGTACAAACAAAGCCCCCGCCAGGTGGTGATGCCGTGTCCTAGGCGTAAGCAGAGAGACCTAGTGTAGTGCCAGGCGCCGGGCGTGGCGTAGCTTAGGTTAAGTAGCCGTTAAGTTACCGTGTGTCCCACACATAGCGCTAAGAGAGTCGTGTTCTGTGTTCGAGCCGTGCTAGAGGCTAGCCGTTGGTGTTACCGTGTGCTGCGCCGGCGGGCCGGCACCTGTGCCGTTTGCTCAGCGCGCAGAGAGCGGCAGCGCCTGCGCCGCGTGTGCCCGTGTGCGGCGCTCTGGCGGCCCGTGGCTGGAGGTACTGCCGGTGTGTGTGCGCGCGTGTATGTGCGGGTTTTCGCGGGGTGCGCGGCCGCCACCCCCTCGCTGCGATGGTGCTGCTTTGTTGGTAGGGTGCGCGGTCGCCGTGGGCCCCTCGCTCGACGCCGTTACGGTGAGAGGTGGGTGTTCGTGGTCGCCGCACGGGCCCGTCCGGTGGGCGGCGCCGGGAGGAATAGATGCTGTAGCTACTAGGGGCAGCGCGCCTGCCAGGTCTCAGCAGCGTGTTGAGTTGACGTTTACCGACCTCCCGCCGACTCAGGTGCGGACTGTTTGGACATTTGTTACCAGGAAACTGAACATGCCGCCTGATGCCAAATACGTAAAATTATCTTGCATGGTTAGATCAGCACGGAGGCAAATACGAGAGATATGCACTGTTACAGAGAGATTAGCGCGGCGTCACTGTGCGGTGTTGGTATATGTGATGATGTAGCGAACGTTGTTGACACCAGAGGGATATACATATGCGCGGCGTTGGCTTATCACCACATGGGAATCGAAGGAAACCGCGTCTTTCTGCTCCGGAACTCGCGTCTACGGCGGCATCTATGCAGTCTGTGTCCTGCCTCGAGGCTACCGATAGCCTCTGACCTGCCAGCAGCGCGCCGCCTCTTCCGTTGGGCGTCCCCGTCGGGCCGGTACCGCCTGTCCTCGGTTCGAAATTGCGCGGCGCCGCACCCTCGGCTGGCCGCCGCTGCCGTCGCCGCCGTGGTTTTGTACCGTTCAGTTTTGATACCAGTGCCCTGCGGGCGGACGGGAGAGCTGCCGACTGGGTGTCCCCGGCAGACGGTGGCCGCTGCTGTGTCGGTGTGTGTGTGTGTTTGTGTGTGATGGGGTGGGTGTGCGCCTGTGTACATGCGCGTGCATTTGTTGCGTGTCGTGCGTCGCGATCGGACCCGGTCGGACGACCCAGCCACGAGGGCTGCCCGGCCAGCGCGCCAGGTCTGCCGACGTGTCCCCCTGGAGGCGCCAGGTCGCCGGCGCCGCCTCCCAGAAGAAAAAAACAGTGGTTTGTATAATATGCAAGTGTACATAGACTGTAGTGACTACCTACGATACGGAGGTGAGAATAAAGCGGGGAAAACCAGGCTGTCTTTGGCTGATTTTTCTTCTATCGTCTGGCTGACCTCAGAAGGGCCCAGGCCGCTATGAACTTTGGGTACCGGATCGCACCATTTTTCAACGTAGGGCAGGAGAGGGGACTGAGGAGGCCGTCCGTGGTTTCGAACTAAGAAATTGGACCAACGACTGACGACTGGCACTCTTAGATATCCTTTTCCGAACTGAAGCCTTCGGCTAGCTGAGGTGTACAATTAGCGCCAAGGTGTCGGTCTCAGCCAACTTAGCCAGGGTGGGGGCCGGGGAAGGGGCTTTATGGCCACACCTGATTATTTCACGAACGGAGAAGGCTAGATAGACGCGAAAAAACACTCGATAGCCCCCCATAAGTTCTTAAAGAAATAGGATGTCATCTGTTTTAGCTCAGGCCAATGTTGAGGTCACTAGAGAGCAGAGGTCATCAAAGGCAAAACGTATCGTCAAATTTTCTTTTTTCACATTTTTCTTCACAGACCGGCACATAATTCGTGAAACAAAGAAGCAATTACGTTGCGGGAAAAGGCGTTCGATAACTCATTCAAAACTCTTTCGCCACGACCTCAGGTCAACGGTTTGGCCCTAGAAGGCGGAAACCGCCAAAGTAGAAGGAGTTTGCCCCGCTAAAAAATACTCAATTTTTGCATAACATTTATTTTGCCACCATCGTCTTTCTCTGGTAGAGACGCGTTAAATGAACTGTAATTTGACTTTGAAAGGTTAACATGAAAAGTTCACCTCAAGCCAAGGTCAGGGCAAGCGATCAGGTCAAAAGCATGACGCATATGCATGAACAATGGAAAATTCATGCCGTCATACTTCCTCTTATAGGTTGGTTGGCAAATGGCAAGTGCTCTAACAACCATTGCATTGGTTACTTAGGTATGTCTGCACATGAAGTAAAGGTAGGTGCAGATCCAAGCATAACAACATATAGGTACCTAGGGCTCTGGACGCCGGTATAAGGTAATGTCCACTATTTGTGGTATTAGCTATCGTGTCTAGCGAGGAGCACATCAGATGATACTGTCCTGCGAGCGAGCGGTATATACAGTCCGTCCAGCATTTTCGCGCAGTCAATTACCATTGGCGTGTGACACATGCCGGGACGGTGGGCACGCGAGCGTTCGTGCCCCTGCCTTCTATCATAATTTGGCGGCTGGTAATTAATTCCGATGGTAGACAGGTCCGGCTCCTGAAGAGAGAGCCACGGAGAAGGGAGAGGGAGGAGGACGGCGGCCGTCCGGCTCATGCACGGCCCACATCGACCCTAATGACCCAGAAGGCACACACGGCCACGGCGGAAATTCCGCCGACTGACACGGCGATTATCCGGCCGCTGGTGTAAACTGCAGCGACTTACCGGGGCCGCTATGTCAATGTGTTGGACGGCGACCATGGGGCAGTAGCACTCTGCACGGCTGCGAGCTGAAGCTGCAAATGCAGCGGACTGGACTGGTCTTCGTATGGGAGCGGAGGTGCGGTTGCAAGTACTTACAGGGTACCTACTGAACCGGCCTCCGTGGGGCGCCGGACGTGGCTGCAGCTGCAGCGGACTGGACTGGCCGCACCCTATACTATAGGTCTGCCGGTGGGCTCTATAATGCTCGACAAATGGTGGTACGCCTGAATTTTGGCCCTGAACGGTTTGTAAGTTGGGAACGGTTTGAGTAGCGACCGTTATAGTTAGTCACCGCCTGAGCGGCTGGTTCTTAGCCAGCCTCGCCATGGTGGGGATGACTACCTAAACCTACATAACCTACAGAAGCTGAAGCTATTTAAAAAAGAAGCCTTTACAGATTTTGTTAAGGCTTGAAGAATATTGGGAGGTTTGGTATATGACTTTATTTATTATAGTGTTTATTATAGTGGCTCATACGTTCGTGCCCTCGCTCGGGTTCGGTTTCCGTTGAGCTCGGGTTCCAGCATTCACGCACTTGGATTGGAGGTATTGCTAAGAAGATTTGCTGAAGATTCCTTCCCACTCCCCTGGTCTGCCCGCCCTGCAGTGACCTCATTGTGTTGAGATGATGGTATAGCTCGTCTGGTCACGGCTGGACACGGCACCGCTTACCACCATATACGGTCAGGGGGTTTATAGAGAAACAGTTCCATGAGGTTGTTATCTGGCTGCTTGGTTATGGGCTGGTTACAACATTCTATAAACAAAATGCTAACGTGGATCATTACTCACGATATCAGACGGCACCAAACTCCTTTATTTGTGAACATCTTCCAGCCTTTCAAACCGAATCCTTCCGTCTCGCCGTGCTGCTAACTTTTTACGGCGCGCCATCGGACGTCGGCTAAACATTGTACATTGTACAACATACATTGTGTGACATTGTACAACATTCTTTTACTGCATGCTTTGGACATGACCTTCAGAGAATTTAAATGGTTGAATGCTGGCACCAAGTGTCCTCATGGCATGACCTGACCTTTTCTGTGTCAATTACTGCGGACAAGTTCTCACTATCGATTCACGATTGAACTTCTGGGAGGCAGTTAACCCGCGCCCGGATGGACCTCTCAGCCAACTTCGCCATGTGGGGGGGGGGGGCTTTTTGGCCACGCCAGGTCATCTCGGAAAGTAAGGAAGCTTGAAAGACGCGAAAAAAATAGATAGTTTGCCGTAAGATATTCAGAAGCATAAATGTCATTTTTGATCAGGTCATTGCTGAGGTCACTGGAGGTCACCAAAGGTAAAATTTGCACGAATTTTCGTTCCCGATTTTTGACAGTTTTTCACAAATCAGCGCGTAAGTCGGGAACCAACAAAGTTACAGCGCAGCGGAAAAGCGCATTCGATAGCTCTTTCAAAGGTCTTTCTAAGCATTGTTTTCAGATCTGACCTGTGATAAACGATTTAGGCTCCAGGGCCTCGTTTCATAAAGCGAGTCCGTAACTTACGCCGGTTTTTGGTCTTGTATTGCAAGTGCATGTGAAGCGATAAATTTATTTCCCCTAACCCTTCACCCTTTTGTTCATGCTTGCAAGATAAATAAATTCAACGATTCAAACTAACGTCATCGCTTCACATGCACTTGCAATACAAGACCAAAAACCGCCGTAAGTTAGGTACGGACTGGCTTTATGAAACGAGGCCCAGAGGGCAAAAACTCAAAATTTGACGTTTTTGCGGAATAGGTTTTTGTGTAATAACTTTTGACTCCAGTCCAAACATGTACTCGTATTACGCTGATCTTACTGGCATCGCGCTTGTCTCGTCGATACGCGTTGAATGAATCATAATTTGACGTGAAAAGGTCAACTTCAAAATTTGACCTCGGGTTTCACGGAAAAGGCATGTGGCGTTGCATGTCTGACGTCATTCGATTCGTATTGTTGAGCTAAGCACATTACTGGTGTTTTCAGCGCTCTACATGCTTCTATCCTGACTTTTTTTAAGAACTGTTGAAGACGTTTCATGACCTGAGATGACCTTAGGGGCAAACAGGTGCAATTTTCCGGTTCAGTGTGTTACCTATATTCATCAGTGTCCCGATGTGGTGATTTTTGGCCAAAAGAAGAGCACTTCAATTTTCTCCCATTGACTTATGATGGAGATGTCACAACATTGACCCGACCTTAGGTCACCGATATCAAAATTCCGAGATATGCAAATTTTTTGGTGCTGATTCTTTCATGCAATAGCCTGAGTTTTAAACTTCTGAAATGTATGCTGTAGGAATGACCGAATCACAAAGTTTTTAGAGGTATGGTCACTTAACTTGACCTGGTGACCTGAGCTTATGTGACCTGGAGTCAAAAATTTCACACACGATGCGAAATTGATGTATCATAAGCTACACCAAGTTTTGCGGGGCCGCTCTCCGCATGGTTTTCTTTACGCTCGCAAAAAAAAAACTGGCAGATGTGGCCAACCCCCCCCCCCCCATCCGGGTGAAGGTTAAAAAGAAATCGTATTACCTTAGTGCTTCAATATTCAAGGGGATTAGCTGCTGCCTGCTCAACTGTTGCTCGAGATGATTTCTTAGAAATCGACTGAAATGGTACAATGACCTATGCATCGGCATTCGGCAAGTTCTAGCGCCTGACTTTCTTCAAAAAAATCTTGATTGTCAAGCCCAGGGGGGCGACACGGCTATTCGCGCAATGTATTCAGTTATGGGCCGCGCGGGGCCTCGGGATGACGCGGCTGGAGGCAACTGCTCAGCGCGCTAGGATGCTTCTGGCGGGGCCGGGCGCTGAAAGGTGTGCAATGAATGGGTTATCGGCGGGCAGACAGAGATGAGGCATTGAATTTTAATTGACATCAGCAGTCGGGTGGGGAAGGAGAACGTTTCTAATCGAGCTTGGGCCGGGAAAGCCGAAAATGTCACGATCGGCTCAAAGCTGCGTCAGGGCCGGGTGCCGTACCATGTGTAGTATATTTAGGCGGGCAGACAGAGATGAGTTATTGGATTTAAATTCACCTTACCATCGGTTTCTGGTGGGGTTTGAAGACGTTTTTAGTTAGGCTCGGGGTGTGGCAACCCACTGGCGGATCCAGGGGAAGGCATTTGGGGCAAATGTCTTTCCCCACAACCGGGGCAGCGCCCGAAATCGATTTTCGAGAATAAAAGAACTTCACAATTTTTCTTAGGAAATGTTGGTTAATCACACTGCACAACAGTACGCAAGGAATCGAAATCATCCGAGTTTTTTTAAATCAATTAGGAGAAACCTTTTTGGGGTAAGCCCCCGCAGTGTCCAAGACCGCTTCCTGGATCCGCCAGTTATGAATAAGTCACGGTCGATACCGAGCTTCGGCGGGACCAGGCGCTGTATTACGTTGTACCTACAAGGAAGAGGTGGACAGCCACCTAACCCCACATCCTACTGCTATACCCGTGATTCTGTGGGTGAATCACTGAAGCATCACGGAATCCCACAGGACCTGCGAGTCGACGAGGTGGCCGCTTTGGCCGCCGGGTACTGCAGCTCCCTGGAGTTGCCTGGGACCGATGGTAAAACAACAGCTCCGGC